TTACAAAGGATAAATAAATACTAATTAACTAATCGTTAACACTTAAGCTATTTTTTTTAATATTGTGCTTTTAAATTTATCTTTGTTTTGTAGATTTTATCATTCCATGTAGTGACCGTTGCTATTTTATAAATTATAAAAACAGCAGTATAGAAGTAATTATCTTTATCATCTAATACAGTGCTTCTCAAACGTTCAACATCTGCGACCCGATTTTGAATCATAATTTTCTTCACGCCCCTTTCCCATACAAAATCAATGTATTGAATTCAATAATAATAATGTTGTTGTTGTTTCATGCCACCTGATCTCAACTAAGTCAGTGAGTGAATATTAACGTCGCACTGTTCAGCTACACGAGGGCTTTTTGGTGTAATTTTGAACCATGATCAAGTGACGTGGACGACACCTGAGCTGGCTCCCCCCTCTCTAACTACCACCTTAACGTGCTTCGCTGCCCTACACGGCGGGTCTTTAGTGGTACTGGGATCGAACTCATGACATGCCTGCCATGATTCTCAACTAAGATCCAATCCCATACAATTCATCATGGTAAGGGGCTAGATGTACGCTGCCGTTAGCGGTAGCCTTGAGCACCATTCAGGTGACAGTACGATTTAGCTCGGTTCCACCCTAATTTTGAGGAGAACACCCTGGAGGTGGTCAGAGGCCTTCCACCTCTCTTCCCCTTCTACCAACCTTACGAGAGGACTTACGGCTCTACGGTTATTTAGAGTACCCCCATGCCGCAAATGCCTATACATTTACAGACATCCATGCCTTCTCCGGGATTCGAACCCAGGCCCTACGGCACCGCAGTCAGCGTCGCTAACCACTGTACCGGAGGTGTGACTAATAATAATGTACTTCGATGCTAAAGCTTCAATATACGGTTTTAATTATAAACCGTGCAAATTATCAAGATAAGTATTAAATTTTGTACATGACAAGCCCATGGGGTTACTAGTAATTATTAAGTATGTTTTTAATTTTGTGTTGATGAATTGATAATCATATACATTGTGCAGTACTGATACATTTATAAGTGTTACATCAGTGTAAATATGTATTTTATTTTTTATTACATTAGAATGTATTTTGTTTTGCTTTCTTGCAGTAAATTAATAACTTTTTAACAATATTTTATTTTTGACTTTTTTTTATGCTTGCGCCCTCCTGGTATGATTATTATGCCCCAAGGGGCACGCTCCACAATTTGAGAAACGCTGATCTAATATCATAATAAACTATGGAATATCTGCGCAGACAGTAGGCGCCAATCGGGTAATCATGCGATTCCTTTGACAATATCAGCACGTGTTTATTCATAACGTGGGTTTTACTATATGTATGTTGATGACATTCTTGTGTCTTAATTTTATCTAATTAAAAATATACGATACCATTGTATTTTTTGCATTATTCTAGTATATATATTTGTTAGGAAATATTTTTACCAACTCTTTTCTATAATTTTGGTTTTATTCTAATTTATTTATCTAATTAGCTATTCGTCTGCTTCGTTAGTATTACCTGGTTAGTGTTTGCTGGGATATTTATTTATAGTTCTTGATACACTTACATTAGCTCTTGTTAATTTAGTTTTTAAATTAATTTTGTAATTTTTATTTCATATTTTTCAAAATGCTCACAGTTTTGGTTTCAAAAAACGTTTCTTTTGAAAAACTTAATTTTGAAATATTGTATTATATAGGTTTTCAGTGCCCGGGAAATGGAAGTTTGCTGCGAATGTGTCAAAAAGGAAAAAATATTCGACGATAAATTCGTGAGCAACATATCTTTTTACTGAGCTTGTTGCGTAGTAAATGATTTTTTTTTATTCAAGGCAAAGCAAAAAAAAGAAAAGTGAAATCAAAAAAAATTTTTTTTAAATCAACAATTTGTCAGGAAAGGGTTATAAATTATTTTATTTTAATTTTGGGACTTTTTTAAACAATTTATTTTTGCATTACTATTTACTCATTTATGCTTTTAATGTAACTCATTGTTTTTAAAAAACAAAAAAAAGGTTTATTATTAAATTGATATTTTCATTTAATTATAAGTTTATTCCAAAAGATTAAAAGTAATGGAACTATCCAAATTTGCACTTTTAAACTCCGAAAATGTGAATGGGCTAATTTATATTTTTTAATAGCTACATTATCAGCGATAAGTTTATAATTTGATTCTTATTTTTTAGAGTAGAATTGAATATCAATTGCATTATTTTCTATTTTAATGAATATGCATTATTAAGCTTTAGTCATTCTATAATTATTGCTATTTATGAGTAAGTCCTAATTTGATTCCAACACATTTAAAGTAAACGCAAGAAATGCCAAACCATTTTGAAAAGGAAATGTAAATTTTTCATTTAAAACTTCAATTCAATAAGGAGTAATATTGCGTTAACATTAAAATACTCCCAAATTGTTAGTAATTTTTCTTACAAGGCATAGTATTTTTAATTCAAATACTTTATGACGTGTTTTTATATAAAAAATAACCTGTGTGTGTGTTTATTTTTATTTATTTAAAATTTTCATTCACATGATTTGCTTATTTAAATTTTAAATTATGTGGTCTTTACTTAAAATAATTGAATTTAAATTCCACTGTAAATTAACTTTGGCATAAACTTTTCAAAATGTACTAGTCGGTAGACTGATATGTAAATAACGAAAACTTATATAAGTTTGCAATCTAATTTTAAAATTTATTTCTTTAATATTTAATACTTTTTTTAACTTTAGGTTATAAGTGCAACATTCCAGAATCCTTCGAGAAGAAGGACTTTTTGTAAATACAAACTTGGTTGGAAATGATCCAGGTTTGAAGTGCCTACGATTAGTAAAATTTTGGTATTTGAAACATTTCTCTTTGAAATGATCTGAACATAGAACAGAGGAAGAAGAAAGTACGAGTTCTTCCCGCCTAATCTTCGCTATCCATATTTTTAATAAATTTGGATTTTTTAAAGGAAATTGGAAGAACGTTTTATTTCTGCAATTGTCTTTCTGTTTGCAATTATTGCATCCATATGCTGCACAGTATGTCATTTCTGAACGTAAAAAAGAATAATTAACTATACGAGTTTAAGAGCAAAATAGTCGGAAACAAATGACGCCATATGCACGTGCACAAGAGCTCACGGGAATCATGTGATCGTGACGTCACATGAATTTAGTCCATTGAAATAAAAATAAATTTTGGTGCATTACAAGGTAAATTACAACAAAAAAAAAGAGGAATGTAAATTATATTTTTTAAAAGGCATAGATAATGCTTTATAATTGTATATATAGCCTCAACGCAGTAGTGCACTCAGTTATTTTTCAAGGGGGAAGTCCAGGGTTAGAAGTGCACTAATCTCGTATCATGCAACAATACACCGCCGAACCTATTCTCTTGATTTTGTCGATTTTCGAGAGCAAAGAACAGTAAAAAAAATTAATTATTGAATGAATAATTAGCATTCATTAATAAAATTAATTATTAATAACAAATACTTGAAAACGCTTACTTACTATATACATAAAATTATAATCAATCGGAAAAAAAGAGGGGCTTTGTTGTGTGTGTGGGGAGGGTCCAGACCGAGGACCCCCTTGTGTGCGCCACTGCCCCCTCAACGGTATACTTTTCTTTAAATAGAAAATATTCATGTGTCTTACCTAGGATTGCTAATGAAATGTGTCCGCACTATTGCAAATTTGTGTGTGGGGATAGCCGATGACTCCAATTATTTCAATAACAGGATCGTCCTTGTCCTTTATTAATGGACAAGGACGAACAGATGACTACACGAAGGAAAATCGTCGTATATACACAAAGAAATATAATACCATTTTATTTAAAATTATTGCAAAACGCATTCGTTATAATAGCTTTAGAACGTCGCAAGCTTTAGAACGTTCCAGAAACGGCTCTCTAGAACAGTTCCACTGACAAGAACACAGGCAGAAAAATCTCTTATCGCAATCAATGCAAAAGCAGGTTCTGATCTCGACTGAGTACTTTTCTGAACTGCTTCGATCTTTATATGAACAATCCTCATTGTAACTTCTAAAATTGATCCTAGAGCTTTCTCGAAATTCCCGGCGATACCATATTTTTCGCCAAATTTGTCGCCTAAAGTGGTAAAGTCTCCAATTTGGTGATACTGGTCATATCTCTTGTGCTTTCCATAGTTTTATTTTTCAAATATACGCTGGGAAGTGAACTTTGCCTGCAAAATTCAATTTTCCTGCAAAAGAGGTGTAAGAAAAAAAATCATTTAAAAGTGTTTAAATGCGTATAAAAACCTCTAACACATATGCATCAAAATATAAACAGTCAAAAAATTTACAGAAATAATATTTAGAGAGACTATGTTTTTTTAAGAAAGGTTACCAGATTTTCAGCGAAAGTATGCATCATAACATGGAGAACACAAATTTAAAAGTTAAAGGATGTACTCAAAATATAAATATCATGATGTATTAATTCCTTAACTCTCCAATTCTTCATTAATCCTCATAGATAAATTCATTAATGCTTAATCATGAAAGACTAGAAAAAAATGTATAAAATCCTTAACAATTGTTAAAACCAACAACGTCGTAAGCGCAAGTTGTTACGCTACAGTTTCTGTATAAAGAAAATAGAAAAAAAAAGTTCCCAATGATTCAAAAGAGAGAAGAAAAAAGGAAGAAAGAAAAGAAAAGGGAGAGGGGTTAAGAGATAAAAAGAAAGGAAATAAGTAATATAATAATAATTTTTAAGTCAATTCCTACTTAGGTCAAGAAAGAAAATTTTTATTAAATAGTTACAATTAATATAATACATATGACAGAATCACAATATTAAGTGACAAAAGCGATTTTCATTGCAATTTTGCATTTTACTTTCTATATATAATGTTGTACTATTTTTTTGTTATTATTTATTCCTTAATTAAATTTAATTATTAGTAAAATAGTTTAGTAAAAAAGAAATCACATTCTAAGAAATTAGGCCATTCCACGTGGGATTCGAATCCACGACCTTTGGATTAGAAGTGCAATGCGCTATCCATTACGCTACATGGACACAATGAACAATTTTCCTTTCTATATATGCTGTTGAACTATTAGTGTGTTTGTTACTATTTATTCATTTTTTAAATTTAATGATTTAATATTTGAAAAAACTGTATTAGCATCAAGTGTCATCCACTACAAGTTTAAAAAAAATGTATTTGAACTTGAATGGATGAATAGAAAGTATTTTATTAGCGATTAAAAATTTAAACAAAATGTATAAATATACATAGGGAGAGAGTAAATTAATAGGAGCTTAAAAAAAAAATAAAAAAAAAAATAAATAAAAATGTATAAATCGCTAACATTTGTTAAGACCAGCAACGTGATGTGCGCAAGTTGTTACGCTGTAGTTTTTGTACAAAGAAAATAGGGGGAAAAAAAAGGTTTTCGATGTTTCAAAAAAGAAAGAAAGAAAACAGAAAAAAAAAAAAAAAAAAAAAGAAGAGAAGGGTTAAGAGATAAAAGGAAGGGGAGGATAGGAAAATCGATTTTGAATCCCGAATGCTTGAATATCTTCAAAAAGATAGTGAAATAGCGGTAGACCCAAAAAATTTTACAGAAAAAATTACTCCAGATATTCACCTTGGAAGGCTAGAGTCAGATCTAAAATTGTTGGTTTTCAAAATTTCAAGAAGTGTTGAAACTGATTTAAGGAAAGATAATTAAAATAACGCAAATGTATTCTTTATTCAATATATGATTCACTATTTATGTCCCCAGTTCTGATTATTTTATTCTACTTCAAGTTTTTCAACCTAGAAAAAATTGGGTTTTTGTTAAAAAAATTTTCCAATTTATTTCTTATTTGAAAAAAAACACGTTAAAAATAAACTAGGTTCAGTTATGTACTGCTCTTTATTACGGAATCTATTTTCTAGAAGATTTTAATAAATTGAAAATTGTTCAAAAAAGAACAAAAGTAAAATATATCTCATTTTAATCCAATAAAAACAACAAACGCAAACAAATTTATTATCATACTTCTATAAGTGCTTTGCTTCTAGAAGTACCATATACGATATTTCTTATTAATAAATCATTTATATCGAAAATTAAACTTTGAGCTATTATGAGTTTTATTATACCTCTGTATATTATAAATATTTAAAGGCTAATCCATCATGAACTCCAGAAAAAGTTTTATTCGAGAATTTCAGAAGAATTTTCTCTTTTGGCTATATTAATAATTTCACTACAAATAATTCTACTACATCATTTGCAAGAAAATATATATGAAAAGAAGAATAATTAGCTTTCGATTAAAGTGGATTTGTCAATACTGTCTCACTTTAAGTTGGTCGTATTCAAATATACGATATAAAAGAATTAAATAAATTATTTAAATCCTAATAAATAGAAGACAAAGAATTCTTTTAGAGGTATTATTTCTACAATAAAAGGAATTCGAATGAGAATCTAAAAAGAAAATGTGCGATGTAAAAGCAAAATAATTCAATTAATTTTTAAATAAATTCGAAACAAAAGGCCTAAAAGTCACATTTAAGCACTTATTGCACAGTATGCTTTAGGGCTTTTTTAAAGAGGGCCTTTGATTAAATAAAATACGTTTTGTATTCTTAGAAAGCTAAATAGAAATAAAACCTAGTTTTGATTTTTTTAAAAAAAAAAAAGTCAACTGTATATTTACATTATTTAATAATAGCCTTATTAATAATAGATGAAAATACCGACATTAAATTGTTTTAAGCGTAGCTGTAACCACAGAAACGAAGATAAATCTCGGTAAAATGTAGATGAAACGTTAAAAATATAACTAAAGATACTTCTCTTATTCATTTTAGAAAAATAAAAATAAATTTAATTTAAGAAAGTACTTAAAATAAAGTAAGGATACCGAAAGGAAGAAAGATATAATTAATGAGTTCCGTGGTGATGCTTCAATTTTCCTACCCTTCGAATTTATAGCAATTTACGTTTTTATCTCGAGAATTCTTTCCGACGAAGATTCTAGAAAATTCGATTAACGAAAAATACTTCTTACTACTAGTGTGGTTTCGAAGATCCTGCTGAGAAGCCTTTTTTAAGATCGAATCTACTTATGAAATACATTAATCAAAAATTTAGAAGATATCTGTTTGAATGATGAATAAAAATTTGAACTGAAGTCGTCTGCTAAAGGAAAAAAATTATTTCAAGTTTAACATGAAAATAAAAGAAATTTCCTTAAAAGCCACGTTGACTCTGAAAATTAAGATAAACAGTATCAAAGATTGTTTGAGATATAACTTAATATTTCCTTTAAGACGATACATTTAGAAAAGTTTAGGTTGATGTAATAAACTAGACTTATTAATCAGAGATTTGAAGATAATATGTAAACATTCTTTTTTAGATTTACATTATCTTAATAAAAGTAAAAAATAGCTGCTGTTTTAATTTTTTTTTAAGAGAAATATTTTTATAAGAAAACTTGTCATAGTTGTTTTTCATGTATATGAAAAAGAATATAATTGTAATTATAACTAATTACCAATTTTTTAAAGACTTGCCTATAAAATACTCTTACAAACTATTTAAAGTCCAAACAAGACAAAAAATAATGTTTAAGGTACTGGTGACAAGGTGATAGATAATGTACAAATCTTCCCCAAATCTAGCTTTAAGTGGGCCTTGGCCTTCTCGAGAGTTTTCCTCCAGGCCTTTTTTTTTTTTAGCCATGGTCTTACAATTAGTCACTCTCTTAAGGGAGTGAAATCCTTTTTTAGGCAATCAACCCACCTGAGGTTGATTGCCTAGTTCGTGTTCCAGTGGACATTTACAAAAAGATTTTCTATGTTGAAAATTTTTTTTCATTCTAATCACACAGCCAGCCTATTTAATTCTTTGGATTTTAAGGTATCCGACTACGTTCGGAACCGTGATTTTAAAAAAACCCATAAATGGATAATTTTCTCAATATTTAGTGTCCCTTTGATTAGAATACATGTATAAAATTGTTTTAAGGACTTTGACAAAAAAAAATTTTTTAAATACAATATTTCGGAAAAAAAATTTAAATTAGAATAATCTTTTTTTAAAATTTCTCCTTTTTTGAAAAAAGGGTTCTATTATAATAATATTTTCCCGTATATAGCTCGACCTCTACAGAGGCTCAACTAAAATTTTTTTCAAAATCAATTTTTTAGAGTTACCAATTGAAATAATTATTGGCGTTTTTTTTTAAAATTTCTCCCCTGTTGTCGTAAAACATGGATAAACCCACTTCTAAATTATATTTTTAAAAAAAATTTAGCCCTCGGGGGCTCACCTTCTTAGGTGAGTACGGGTGTAAATCCCGGGGGACCCTCTCTCTAGTATCTTTTACTTTTCCCAAGGGTTTACTATTTTTGGGTAAACACGGGTGTCAGACCCAGGGGTACCCTAGTGATCCTTTTTATTTTCGACCCTCTCTTGTCATCCCTTTTTTTTTCCCGTCCAGCCATAGTATTGTACAAAGTGAATTTTGTTCAAATTTTCTTTTTCTATTGAAAACATGTTTTATTACAAAATATTATGGTTTACATTTTGTATTACGTTAGTTTAATTTTTTTCTTAGATTTCTTTCAATATTTTGATTATGTTGTTTATTTGTGTTCGAAACCCCGTTGGTTAGCCAACCCCATGTTTGGCGTGTGCGGCGCCCCGTAAGGAGGAAAATGGTGTTCTGGGGACCCTTTTTCGTTCCCTTTTGCCCACGCTTTTAATTTTTAACAAATTTTTTTTCCCCAGCATAGCCAAGATTGGCTCTGCGCCAAAAAACCCCAACACTCACCACTCAAAAATTCTGTTGAGCCCGTCAGGGGGTCTGAGCTATAAAAGGAAAAATATTTTTAAAAAAAGAAGCGTTTTCACAAAAGGAGAACTTTTGAAAAAAAAAAACTGTTAATTTTTGCCGAAATATTTATTTAAATAATTTTTTTTGTCAAAATGTCATTAAAACAATTTTATACATGTATTCTAACCTAAGTGAGACTAAATATCATGAAAGTTATCCATTTATGCACATTTTTAAAATCACAGTTCCGAACGTAGTCGGATACCTAGACAACTTCTGTGGTTCCCTGAAGGCACGGTAGAGTTCTAACCCCTTGAGGGTCTGCGCCAAATGCCATCAACCTGAGTTCCTCCAAAATTGACTCTTAAGATCTGATGCTCAATGATACCAAGAGTACTTTCCTCATTTTGTGTCATTGTCTAAGGTAGGGATGGTGAACCAATGGCACGTGACACAATATTTTGGGCACGCCACCGATCAAAACGGTTTGCATTTTCATTCCAAACGACTAAGTACAATATGAAGTATTGCGAACAAATGGGAGTGATCGGTCGCAGTTTTCAGCGAGATTTACTCAGCTCAAAGAATGAATAACCGGAAAAGCTCAAGTTTTTTTTATGTACCCTGATGCGACTTCATTTAAAAAACTGAACTTGTGCCAATTCGATTGGTTGGAAATTGAAAAATTTGAAATGCACAACTCTGATTGGTTTCCAGTCTAGCTCAATACGGATTCAAAAATTTGTTGAAAAAAGGAGAAAGTTGGAATTAATTGAAACAGCTAGATAAATAAGCAATATAAGTAAAAATGCTAGTAATGAAATTTTGGAAACATGGAATTCGATTCCAGACACCATTTAACTGTTTAAAGAAGCTGGACCATGCTATTTTAACCATATTTTCATCTACTAATGCCTGCGAGTCATCATTTTCAGAGATGAAAAACTGTAAGGAGTCATTTAGAAACCGTTTGGCAAATGACCAATTCAGCATGCACTCTGCTAAAATTAACATCTTACAATTCTAATATAAGTTATTTGTCATCTAATCTGCAACAGCAGAAATAACGCTAATGTTACTTTATATAATTTGAATTACAATTTTAACTAAAACATTTAGTACTATGAAGTACAAAATGTATTTTTTCGTAGAAAATAAAGAGTTTTAAGTTGTTCGCAATTAGTTTTATTATTTTTTCAATAATCACATGCCAAAATTATTTGACGGC